ACTAGGTCACACAGAGAGAGCATGCAGACTCCACACAGAAAGGCCTGACAACATGGTGGGTTAGAAACCTGCACGTGTGCGACGGTGAGGCAACAGTGCCGTTATCTGAGCCATTTAGAGGCGGACCTGCTGGTGTGTTTCAGATCTTGAGGTTTAGGGCATAACTTGATTGTCGTCCCATGTATGACGTTCTTTTTATGATTTGCTTTGTTCAATTTATGCCAGATGTCACGGATGAAGTGGATTTCTCCTTGTTCTCTCCCATCGATGCTGTTTTTGCTCAGTCTCTTTCTATCGTTGAATCATGAACGCTGACATTAACTGAGACAAATGAGGCCTTCAGGTCTTTAGATGTTGTTCTGGGTTCTTTTGTGGAGTTGTCAGTACTCTTGGAGTGAATTTGGGAAGCCGACCCCTCCTGGGAAGGTTCACACTGTTTCAAGTTTTCTCCATTTGGGGAATATGGCTCTCGCTGTGGTTCAGTGGATTTTTTTTAACCCTTAATAGTTAAATTGAAATCTAAAACCTGCAGTTTGTATTTGCTTTTTACCTTTTTCTGAAATTAAAATTGGATTTTAAGTGTTAAAATTATGCACAAAACTAGGAAGGGAAAGGGGAGAAATAGTTTTTCACAGCACTGTACATTTCTCGTAGTATACTTAAGAGATTCTTGCTTTTATGATTTTATTAAGCTGCACAAAGAAAATACTACCACAAAAGCTTGCATACACATGTGGACACACACACATTTCCAGAGAAACCTGCCCTGAAAACGCCGCTTTCTCCCGTCTGCCTCCTGTCCTCAGTCGCTCATTTAACAACAAGCTGCTGACTGCTTCCATTTCAGGTCATCTATTATTGACCGATTTTAGCGGAGCGGATGTGGTAGAACAATCTCTCTGTGCCCCCGGGGCAGCTGTACTCAGTCCTCAACCTTTATTCAGAAGCTCTCTGGACTTCACAGCCTCTTAACTCTCATCATTTGTGATGTTGGTGTCAGGGCCATCTGTTAAATATGAAAGGATTTATATAAACTCTCTAAAAAAAGTTGTTGGGATCTTGTAGTTGTTTTCTAATTGCAATTATAAAAAATATTTGAGCCCACTAAGAAAAAAAAACCAACCCAAAACTTTAAATGCATCTCAAATAAAAGTCTAAGAAGATAAAAAGACTTATTTCTATTAAATGATATTAAATTCGACCGGTGTGCATCCCTCCTGCTCTAAGGACCTCTTGTGCTCTTTGGGTCTGTGCTATTTCAGGAAAAGGCAATTACTCCCAGCGAGAGCTTCTTATTCCTGGGTACAGACTGGCTGATTGGGAACCATTCGGACGAGCTCACACCGTGGATCCCCGTTATAGCAGCCAGGCGAGTCATCAGGAGACACAATCACACTCAGCAGCTCAAGTGCCAGCTGATCTCTCCAGTTTTGGAATAACATTATGGGCAGGGGGTGATGTGTGAAGAGTGCGTGTGTGGGTTTACTGAGACGGCCACCTGATGGCGATGTTGAGCCTCAGTGTGAGGAGTCAGATTTCTCCTTGTTAGAGACTGCAGATGATGATTTCTTGTAGTGTGTGTGTGTGTGTGTGTGTCGCTTCCTGTCTGAACAGTTTGAGTTAAAGGTGGAAAAATGCTTAAGTAAAACAAGTCCTCTGTAGTCTGACTGCATTAAAGAGTAATGATCGACACTGTGTAGATTTATTTTGTCCCTTCTTTTTCAAATTATAGGTCGTCTTATTCCTGCCGCTACTTTGTCCTCCCCTGCTGTTTCTTCGACTTCTGTGGAAAATACCAGAGACGCCAGTGTAAGAAGTCTCAGTACAAGGAATACGTCGACTTCATCGCTGAGGTCAGCCAAGTCTGTGGCTTCAACACTGACGAAGACTGTTTGAGAATACCTTCTACTAAACGGGTAGGCTGACAGAAACAGAGTGGAGGCGGCTTCACAGTAAATCCATC